TTTTGCTATTGTATGTATGGGGGCTGGAGAGATGACTCAGCAGTTAAGAGCACTGGATTACTGGCTGCTCTTGCAGAGGACAAAAATTCGGCCACATGATGGCTAACAACCATTTGTAACTCCAGTTCCAGGAGATTGGACACCCTCTTCTGGATGTCATAGACAAATAAAATAGATAAATAAAAATAATTACGTAAGAATTTTTAAAGACTGTAGCACTTTTAACATATATATATATCTTTTTGAGACAGTGTCTCCCTCTAGCCCCAGCTGGCCTGGAATTTGTTATGTAGACCAGGCTGGCCTGGATCTCACAGAGATCCACCTGCCTCTGCCTCTTCCTCTGCATCGCAAATGCTGGGATTAAATGTATGTACCACCATGCCTGACTATCTATCTATCTATCTATCTATCTATCTATCTATCTTCTATCTGTCCATCTATCTATCATCTATCATCATCTATCTATCATCTATCTATCAATTGATCTATCTACCCATCTATAATTTTATTTATTTTTATTTTATGTTTATGAGTATTTTGCCTGCATGCATATAAGTGCACCACATATATGCATAGCCCATGGAAGTCAGAAGAGGGCAGTCAGGGCTGGAGAGATGGCTCAGCGGTTAAGAACACTGGTTGTTCTCACACAAGACCCAGGTTTGAATCCCAGCACCCACATGGCAGCTAACAAGTGTCCGTAACTCCAGTCCCAGGGGATCCGACAGCCTCTTCTGTCCTCCCCAGGCATTACCCGACATGGGTACACTTACCTACATGCAGGCAATACACGCATACACATAAAATAAAAATAATAAATAAAATTTCTTTTTCAGCTGGCCATGATGGCACACACCTTTAATCCCAGCACTTAGGAGGCAGAGGCAGGCAGATCTCTGTGAGTTCAAGGCCAGCCTGGTCTACATTGTGAGTTCCAGGACAGCTGGGGCTACAGGGAGACCCTGTCTCAAAAAGACCAAATATATATATATATGGTTTTTTAAATTTTTTTAAAAGAAGAGGGCATTGAATCTTCTGGAACTGGAGTTATGATGGTTGTTAATCATCATGTGGGTGCTGGGAACTGAACCTGGGTCCTCTGCAAGAGCACCAAGTGCTCTTAACCACTGAGCTACCTCTACAACCCCTGGACTGTGTTTTATATTGTTTGTATTTTTAATATTTATATTAACTTGAGATCTTGGGCACAAGAAATGAAAGGCTATGGCTTAAACTGATGTGTTTGTGTGTCAAGTTGACAAGGGGTGCAGTGTCCTAATTAGCTTCAGCTGTCAACTTGACACAACCCAGAGTCCCTGCCTCAGCTGAGGAATTTCCCAGATCAGGTTTGTTTGTGGACACCACCGGTGAGGCATTATCTTGGTAACTGATTGATTTGGGAGGGCCCAGCGCACTGTGGACAGAATATTCCTGCCTGGAGCAAGAGGTCCTTGGCTGTATAAAAAAGCTGGTTTTCCTCCATGGTTCCTGCCTCTGCCTTTGCTTGCATTTCTGCCCTGACTTCTCTCAGTGATAAAAACTAACCTGGAAGTGTAAGATGAAATAAACCCTTTATTGCATAACACGGGTGTACTTACACACATGGAGGCAATACACAGATCCAGATTAAAAGAAAGAAGGAAATAAATGCTTTCCTCCCCAAGTGGCTTTGGTCATGGTGTTTAATCATAGAAACAGAAAAGCAAATTAGAATATCCTGTTTCAAAGAAACAAACCCCAATAACTTAATTTTACTACTAAAAGTAAATAAAGTCAAGAGGTTATGGAGAAATGGTTCTAATGCACAGTTAACCTAAATCAACTAACCAAAAGGATTTTAACTTTGGTTCCTACTATTATTAGAGGTTTTAGGGTCAAAGTGTGGGCTCTGGCAGTCCCAACATGCCGGACTGACTGACTGTCCCCAATAGCCAATTAAAGAGACGCATAATAGTGAGAAACATGGAGCTGATGTGTATAAGCGCCTGCTTAGAATTGAGGGGAAGAGAAGGGGATACTGGAAGGCTTCCTGGAGGGGGGACATCTGCGCTTATTTATCAAGGATGAGGGAGAATCAGCCAGTGGAGACAGGGAGGAGGAAGTTCCCGGGCAGGATGAACATAGCAAGAGAGAGCTGAGGATAGGCCTCCTGCAAGCCCGCTCACGTTATCTTGCAGGACAAAAACACTGGCATTCTTCTCCTTTTTTTCACTTGTGTTTTTATAATTTGGGGAACTGGAGAGATGGTTTGGTGGTTAAGAGTGTGTCCTTACAGAGGGCTGGAGTTCTGTTCCCAGCACCCACATCAGAAGGTTCATACCCACCTGTAACTCCAGCTCCAGAAATACATGTATACTCAATGCCCTCCTGCCTCTGAAGGCACTTGTGCTCACTTGCACAGACTTATCCATAGACACACACATCTACACATAATTTTAAGAGAAAAATCTTATTTTTATAGTTTTTTCAGTACTGGGAATTGAACCTAGGACTTTGTATGTTAAACTAGTGCCCTACCACTGAGCTATATCTCCAGGCTTTTGTTTTGTTTTGTTTTGTTTTATTTGTTTTTGGTCCCATGAAGCCCAAACTAGCCTACAAATTTTCTATCTGAGGATAACCTTGAACTGTTCATCTTCCTGCTTCCACTTCCTAAGTTCTGGGATTACAGGTATGCATCAACCAGTCCAAAAGTCTCAGCCTTTTTCTTTTCTTTTACTTAAAAATTATTTTGTGTGTAGGAGCATTTGCCTGCATGTATGCATGTGCATCACATGCATGCCCAGTGCCCACAGAGGCCAGAAAATGGTGCCAGATGTCCTAGAACTGGAGTCCCATATAGTTGCGATCTGCCATGTAGGTATTGTGAAATAAACCTGGGTCTTCTGGGAGAGTAGCAAGTGCTCTTAACTGCTGAGCCATCTCTCCAGCACCTCTTTTCTGTTTTTCTCTTTTCTGTTTTCTTTTCTTTCTTCTTTTTTTTAACTTTAAAAAATTTGAGGCAGCATCTTGAACTTTTGTTCCTCCTGCCTCAGTTCCTCAGTATCTAAGATTACAGGCCTGTGCCGCTTGGCTCAGCTCATTTAATTTTTAATTAAAAAAATTTTTTTTGGTCTTTTTGAGGCAGGGTCTCCCTGTAGCCTCAGCTGGCCTGGATTCGCTATGGAGACCACGCTGGCCTCGAACTCCTAGAGATCTGCCTGCCTCTGCCTCCCGAGTGCTGGGATTAAAGGCGTGCACCACCATGCCCGGCTTTAAATGTATTAATTTTTATGTGTATGAGTGTTTTACCTGCATGTATGTAAGTGCACCCATAATTTTGAATGCCTGTGGTGGCCAGCAAAGGGAATTGGATTCCCTGAAACTGGAGTTTCAGGTAGTTAGCTGCCATGTGGGTGATGGGAACTGAACCCAGGTCCTCTGGAAGAGCACCCGGTGCTCTTAACTGCTAAGCCATCTCTCCAGCTCTACAGTTTATTTAATTTTAAATACTGGTTGATGATCCCAGTAACTTGGGGTCTGTGGACAAAAGTCCAGGAATCCATGAACTAGGACTGGAAAAAAAATTTCCTCTTTATGCCATTTTCTACTAGATATTTCCATTGATATTAATGTCATGTCACATAAGTCACAAACTATCCCTGAGAATAGACACACCTGTTACAATTGTACAGGTGTCTTGAAATTTACACTAATAGGCTTCAAAACTATGGTTCTCATCAACTTGCCACTGGATGTGCTAATAATATCATGGTTGGAGTATTTATGAGACCCATTTAAGAAAACATTTTGTGGGGCTAGAGAGATGGATCAGTAGTTAAGAGCACTGGTTGCTCTTGCAGAGGACCTGGGTTTGGTTCCCAGCATCCACATGGCAGCTAACAACCATCCATAACTCCAGTTCCAGGAAATCTGACACTTTCTTCTGACCTTTAAGGGCATTGCACATGAGTACACTTACCTACATTCAGGCAAAGCACTCATACACATAAAATAAAAATGAATCAAAAAATATGAAAAACATCCAGCCAGGCTTGTTGGTGCATGCCTTTAATCCCAGCACTTGGGAGGTGGAGGAAGGTGGATCTCTGTGAGTTCAAGTCCAACCTGGTCTGCATGTCGAGTAGAAGCCAGTAAAGGCCAGCTGGGGCTACAAGGGACACCCTGCCTCAAAAAGACAAAAAAAAATTAAAAACATCTTGCAAGTGTGTGCCCTTTGCTTTGTAGAGAGACAAGAAAGTCATTGGGATTGACTGGGGACCTCCCCTGACCTTGGCAATTTACTTTGCTGTTGGCCAGTGCAGTCAATTATTACATGGACCTGGCTTGCTGAAAGGGGAATTCAGTGTTTTTGCTAAGTGGGCTCTCCACTCTTCCTTGTAGGTCAGACTGTGCTACATGAGACTCTCTCTTAAAACAAACAAATAAATGAATGCTGGGGATGTAGCTCAGTCGTAGGGCCCTTACACAAAGGGCACACACTTTGCAAAATGTTTTTATTTTTTTCGGTCTTTTTGAGACAGGGTCTCCCTGTAGCCCCAGCTGGCCTTTATTGGCCTCTACTCGATATGTAGACCAGGCTCAGTCCACAGCAGTGAAAAATAAGACTGTCTTCCAGGCAGCCTAGCTGTGTACTGGAAGGTAATGACCAGAACAGGAGGAGGGAGAGGAGGAGGCTGGAGAACCGGAGCATCGGGAGAGGAGCAGAAGGCAAGGACACTTCAAGTACAGCTATATGGGGTCACGGCAGATGAGTCCCTGCCACCTTGGTCAACACACCCTGAGATCCCCTTGCAGGCTAAGTACTGCTTTGAGGCAGCATTGGCGGGATGCTGCCCTTGTCCTGGGCACCTTGGTCCTGCTGAGTTGACTAAGGGTCTTTCTGTACAAACACTAAGTCAGTGCATGGGTGGAAATTCAAACTGTGGAGAGGTAAAGGGAGCTTTGGAGGACCCCAAACTCACTCCCCTTCGTGACAAGAACCAAGCAGGCTCACATAGATGCAGAAACTTTATTTGGCATGGGGATTCAGGGCCCTGTGGGCCTTGCCTCCTCCAGCCTGGGATCACCTGGTATTCCAGCTCGGCCAGGTGGGCACACTTGCTGAGAGGAAGCAGCAGCCATAGGGAATGAAGGACTGGGTTTGGAGCTTGCTAGTAAGCCTACTTCTCTTCTTCCTCGTCCTCTTTGTCCTCCTCGACCTCCTCCTCCTCCTCGTCCTCTTCATCCTCTTTGTCCTCTTCATCCTCCTTGTCCTCATCCTCTTCGTCCTCGTCCTTCTCCTCCTCCTCCTCCTCCTCCTCATCATCATCATCATCATCATCATCATCCTTGTCCTCATTATCAGTGTCCTCATTGTCTTCACCTCCATCTTCCTCATTGTCCAGGTCTACTGACGGCTCATCTGAGCCATGCCCCCACTTGAAGCCCATCCCTTTGATGCAGATTATTGAGGTCAAGCCATTGACGGTCAGCAGATGCTCTTTGGGGAGACCCTGGGATGAGAACTGGGTGCCCTGCCATTTACCAAAGGTGGCCACGCGTCCCTTGTTGGTCGTCAAGCTCAGGTGCTTTAGGCAAAACCTTGAAGTGCCCTCCACCCTGATCACGTGCTCGCCCTTCTCCAGCAGGAACTCTTTACTTTCTGCTGATGTCATTCCATAGACCTCACTCCAGTGATCACCAAACTGCAACTGGATGCTGGCAAGAGATCTAGTCAGCACACCCCAACCTCCAGAGAATCAGTTCTTCCCTGTCCCAGTTCCCAGCCAAGCTCTGACATGTCAGCCTGGCCTGGGACCCTTGGTTCCTTCCCACCTCCACCTCTTTGGGACACATTCCTCTTCCTGGGTCCCCAGAGAATGGCCTCAGGTCTGGCAGATGTGCCAGGGTTGAGGGTAGGGAGGCTGGGACTCTGTCATTGCTGCCCCCTCCTGAGCTCCAATCTTTTGCAGGCTCTGCCCAGCTCACAGTTCCCCCTCTCTAGAGCCTCCTCTCCAGTCAGCCCCAAATAAGGCAGCAGCCACATTGAGACCCCTCCCCTAAGCCTAATTGACCAGAGATGGACCTTAACCCAAGCTGGGCAGGTCATTCTCAGGACCAGGGACCAGCAAGAAATGATCTGTTCTGCCTCGTGTTGTCACATGGGAGTTAGAGGGCCCTTGCTGCTGTTCTACCAAGCAAAGAAAGGACATGACCCCCAAGTCTTCTAGACCATTCCTAACCCCAGCTTCTTCCTGCTCTTGCATGCCAAGATGCATCCCAAATGTCCCTCAGGTGCAATGCAGGAAGGAATATGTAATTCAGTTCAAATTTCACATAAGCAATAGATAATATTCAGTGAAAGTATATCCCAAACTCTATGTTATTTACTTTTAAAATAAATTAATTTTGCGTGTGTGTGTGTGTGTGTATGTGTGTCTGTGTGTCTATGAAAGCCCACTTAATGCCTTAGCCTTTGTGAGGGAGAGAAAAACTTGCAGGAGTTGGCTTTCTCCTTCTGCCTTACGGATTTTTCAGATCAAACTCGAATGGTCAGGCTGGGCCATCTTACTGGTCCTTATTTCTGTACTTGTTCTGAGATGTACTGGGATTGAACATAGAGCCTCATACATGCTACACAAACCCTTTAGCACTCAGCTGTATCCCCCATCTTTCTCCCCCACCCCATCTCACAGAGACATGCACCACCATACCTAGCTTCTTTTCTTTTTCTAATGACAGGATCTCAATCTGTAGCAATTTCTTCACAATGGAAATCCTCTTGCCTCGTCAAGTTCTGCCATTATGGGCATGAACTATCATACTGGGCTCCAACCCTCTTTTTACCTTTTATTTTGAGACAAGAATTCATTAAATTGTCCAGGTTGACCTTGAACTGACTGTGTAGAACAGATTGCCCTCAAATTTATGATTCTCTTGCCTCAACCTCCTAGGATTTCAGAAGAGTTACAATGCACACTGCTGCATCCAGCTTTTAAATGTGTGCTGTGAATCCAAATTTAGGGCCTCATTCTTGCAGAGCAAGCATTTTTACCAAATGAACTATCTCAACACCCTAATGTGGAATCTTTAAAGGATATCTAAATATTGCTAAGGAGGCACACTGAAAGAGTGCTCATTATCTATCTGAATTTGATTGACCTCATTATACTCTCCTTTAATTTATTAAATTGGCAATAGTAACCCAAGACTCTTAGGGTGCTATAGGAGAATAACAGACACCTAGAGGCAGACACTAGTGAGGACAGTTAAGGTCTGGCCTTTCCCAAAGGACTGCCAGTCCTTTCTTGAGTATAACAAAGGTCCCCAGGGGGGCAAGAACTGCACATGTCACATCCTGTGAAGACAGGGACATCTCTCTCATGTGAGCAGTTTCTGTCATTTTCTACCAAGGAGCCTAAGGCTGCCAGAACTACGTGGAGGAGGGACCCATCAAGACTCACTGATCTTTTCTGAAACAGAAGTCCCTTTCTACCCAGCCTGAGAATGGGCTCCACTCTTGTCCAAGCCTGGGCATTCCAGTCCTGAGTGGGCTATCTCAGGTCAGGCTGGGGAAAGTGAGGCCACAGAATGTTGGGTAGTTTGTGGTCTGAGGCCTGTATATCCTCTAAGGGCTCCAGTAGAGAAGCCAGAGCAGGTGGGCACAACCAGGGGTATAATAGAGAAGCCCAGGAGCCAGATCACTACTCACCCCTTGATGATGTTAAAAATACCAAGGAAGACTCGAAAGCCCTGGATTTCTCCCTTCTCTTCACCAGCGACATAGAAATAGTTTCCGCTTCTACCATTTATTTCTGGAGAAAGGGAGACAGAAGGTGAAGTAGCAGCCAAGCACTCAGGGCCAGTTGCTCACCTAGGACAGGCTCTTATACCTAAGGGCTAAAAACAAGGCTCAGGTACTCACCCTGGGCTCTGCAGGTAGAAACAGTAAGGAGAGCCAAGGTCAGCAACAGCAGCATGACTCCAGAGAATTTCGGGTACTGGCCTGGTACCCAGTAGCCACAGGGAGATGGCAAAACTTTCTAGAGCTTCTGGGGGAAGAGATGTCAGATGTAAGGGGTCCCCAGGTCACTTGAAGGGAGTCAAGGGAACATCTGGGAACCTTCTTTTTTCCCCTTAGGCTTAGAAGGTAAAGCCCGGGATTGGTTTCACGGGCACATGCACACTGCAACCCTCCAATGTTACTGTCCTAAAATTCTTCCTAAGGTCTGATCAAGAAGCCCCATGTTGTCTTATTACACTGGGTTCCCCAAAGTCTGAAACCATTCCTGGAAGAATCCCAAATTCCAAAGATACCAAGATACCACCATCCCTACTCTGTGCTTTATTCTCTAGCTGGCTCAGCTCTGTGTACCCTGTTCCTCTCTGGTCTCCCCTTCTGTATCAGGCTGTGTCTCTGCTCCTTCCTTACCTGTGCTGTGTAGTCTGAGCCCCTCAGCTTACCTCTTTATATCTAGGTGCCACCTGGCCATATCCACCTTCTATGGGACCGCTACAGTTCCGCCTTGGCAGGGTTTCTTGCAAGAATGTAAAGATTCTATCCAGGACATCCTGAGACATTATTTGTGTTCTTGTCCACTGCCCCTGAACAAATGAACTGCACAGCCCATGCCATGCTCTGCAAATGCAGGGGACATTCTGTGAGCTTTCCTGAACAATGTTAGCCAGGGCAAAGAAGATTTCAGTACTGGAAGAGGAGGGATATGGTCATACTTTGTGATTTCCACAAACCCAGGCAAAGCAGGGGTCCAAAGCCAAGAGACAGGTGTTTGCTTAAAACACATGAGATATTTGGTGTCCTGGCCACATGGGAGGGAAAGGGCGGACATATCCTGCCTGTGATGATTTCACAGAGAAAGATGGGCCCAGGGTAGACAGCAGACTTTGGAGAACATGCAGGGCGAGATGTCCACTTCCGTCCCTTGTTTGAATTCTTGCCTGAGTTCTTTTTAGATTTTTTACTTAAAATGTCACCTCTTTCCTGCCCTACCCAAGGACTACTCAGACCAACTCCCACCAACTGACCACCTCTTTCCTGCCCCATCCAAGGACTACTCAGACCAACTCCCACCAACTGACCACTTACTCAGCCAGGACTGTCAACACGGCCATACTCCACCAGGCATTGCTATGGTTCCCATTTTTTAAATGGAATATTGTATGATATATTTTATATTATGTAAGTCTATATTAACATATGCATTTATTGTTAACATATTTCATATTATTTAGCTTTGGAACTATACATAATATTTTGGGTATAGATAGATATGAAGAATGATAAAAATAAACATGAAAAGATTTTGGATTAACAAAAGATTTTTGGATATAGACAAATAAGATGAAACAAATAGTATTTATGTATTTTTTTTAATTGGAAAATGGTAACGAGTTTATTGGGCTTGCTAACAGAGCATAGGGTGGGGTTTGTTTACAGAAGAGTGGGCACCCTCCTCCCATTTACAGCTGTGCTGGAAAGTTCACACTCAAATACAGATCCTGTGACTCCTCAGTCAATGGGGGAGTCAGTTACCCTCCCACCCAATCAGTCCACCAATCTTAGCTGCATGTAGGGGAGGGGCTAAGGGTATATAAGCCAAGAACGCCATGAGGCACCTTTCTTGCCATTTTGGTTCCCTTTTTTTTGTTTTTGTTTTTTTTTTTTGGTTTTTTTGAGATAGGGTCTCTCCGTAGCCCCAGCTGTCTGGACTCACTATGTAGACCAGGCTGGCCTTGAATGGCCTTGAACTCACAGAGACCCGCCTGCCTCTGCCTCCCAAGTGCTGGGCTTAAAGGCGTGCACTACCATGCCCGGCGGTTCCCATTTTTAAAAATTCATTTTTTACTGAATTTTTGAGAATTTCATAGAATATATGTTGATCATATTTTGATCCTCTCTCTTGTCTGTACCTCCCCTTTCCAATCCCTCACCAAATTTCTGTACTCTAATATATATATGCATATATATTAAATATATATGTTTATATATTTGAGCCTATAGAGTCAGGATTGTACCTCCAAAAAGGGTTCCCATTTTACAGCTGAATTCATTGGTATGTCAAATGGTTTAGCCCTTGCAGGAGGTCACAGTGACCTAGGCTAGACTCAAGATCAGGCTAACTTCTGAGCCTCACCCTTATCCCCTGTACCACAGAGATGCCAGGCGAGGTGTATTCACCACTCTGCTCTGCACCCCGTGTGACCCCAGATGACATCACCACCTTTTCCCTCTCCTTGGCTCATGGTCAGCCCAGGAGCGGGTAGCCACCTTGCAATGCTATACAGCCTGCCCAGGCTGGGCAGCCTTGATACCCCTCCTGGTATGCTGAGATGTGGGGAATGGGGTGGAACTGCCAACCTTCTAAGGCCTGGGAAAACAGCACAGGAGCCCAGGATAGGGATCCAGGAAAAAGCACACAGAGGGCTGGTGACTCGGGCTGGCTCAAACTGGGTCAGGAAACCTCACCTACAGGTTTATTGCCACTGCAGGCCCTTCCTTCTGTCTGGCCTAGGCAGCTTCCTGGGAGGACAAGGAAGGGCTGCGGAGTAGGTGTGTCTGGGGGGGAGCTAGCACAGAGATTTGGGTGTGTCATGGAGGGAAACAGCATCATGTGCCCACGATGAGGCCAAAAACAAGGAGAAGACAAAGCATGGAGCAGATGGGCAAATGAGCTCCCGGAGGGAAGGTGTGGGCTGCGGTTTTCCATGGCCACATGGAGGTCAAGCTAGAGAGATACACAATTCTTTACTGCAAATTGGAGTTTTCAATCCCACATGAGGGGGGCCAGAACCCAGTGGTCACTAGGTCTCCACCAGCTGGATGTGCCAGTGTCCTAGCAAAGGGATCTACCCACGTTTACAAGGCCAGGTCTCCACCAACAGCTACAGACAACAGCCTCAGAGAACTAGCTAGTTGGAAGGACTTCTCCAAAGACTTCTGGTGACGAGCTAAGAATACTTGCTTCTCCCTTTAAGGAAGGGCCAGCCTCTGCAAGCTTGTCACAGAGGGCCCTAGCAGGACCTCTGAGCCCAAGAGACTCTGAAGGAAGGAATGTGAATTTGATTTTATCTAGGGAACGAAAGATTTCCCCAAGGGTGAACCTTTGGTTTAGAGCTATAGGTGGAACAGCTCTTAGGAATACCTGGCCTGAAGATATTTTGGGCCATGATGCTACAGGATGATACTGTCCTCTAGTGGGAAGAGGTTGAAGGTTCTGCTAAATATCAGGCAATGCTACGGACAGCTCCCACCTCTTTCCAAGGGAGAAATGTCTGGCCTCTCACACTTTATCAGGCCAAGGGCAAGAAGCCCTGGCCTAGGGGATGGGGATGGGGCAGAAGTAGACACAGAGCCCAGGGCAGGATGGGTCTCAGCAGAAGACTGTGGCTCTGGGTGGCTAAGTTGTTTTGGCCAGCCAAGCTCTCCTCCCTTACTGCTTACACCTCAGGAGTCTCCTCAGGATATTAGAGTAGGGTCTGTTCCCCAGGACTCCAAACTTGAGAAAGGTAGGGCGGGCACTGCCCCCTACCTCCATGCCTTGAGGGGCTGGTCATCCTACCTGAACTACCTGCCTCTCTGACCCTAACCCACAGTCTCTAGGGTCATCCAGATCCATTCATACACTCTGAGAGTTTGCAAATATTTGGTTTTGTTTTTGCTTTTGTTTTTGAGACAGGGCCTCTCAGCAGCCCCTACTAGTCTAGAACTTTGTAGACCAGGCTGGCCTCAACATCATAGACATCCACCAGCCTCTGCCTCCTATATGTTAGGATGTAGGGATGACTTTTACAAAATGAACAGAATCTGTACTAATGACTTTTACTTAACCTTGCAACCAAAAGTCTGTTTATAATACAAACAAATTTACTGAGCCATGTGCTCTTATGACCTGGGCACCTGACCTTGATCCATTACAACCCCACTTTGCCCTTGACCCTGACCCTTGATAGTGATTGACTATGAGTGTGGTTGAATTAGCAAATCAAAGCACTGGAAGCATGGTATTGAAAAATCTGAGTGATATTGTATGTAGAAGATGTTTTTAGGTCTAGGGATCAAAGGGCAAGATTGTCTGATTAAGTGTGGATCCAAGCTTGTAGTTCCCCAACTGATGCTAGAGAAATGATTTTAAATAAAAGTATGAGTGAGGCCTGGCTTTGGAGCACAGTTCCAGGATACTTCTAGAGGAACAGGTGCTCTCTGAGTTCAAGTCCACTCTTATAACTAAAGTTAACAGTAAAACTGTTTATTCAGGTTTAAGTGTAATGTTGGCATAGTAACACCACACTGGGACTAAAGGTGTGCACCACCACGCCTGGCTTTTAGCAGATGTCTTTTTATTGTGGTAAACATATAATAAAATTCACCATTTGCATAAAGAAAATTCACTCTTTAACCCATTTTACCTTTAATTAATTTTATTTTTTTATGTTTGAAAACGATGTCACTATGTAGTCCATGCTGACCAGAAACTCATGGCAATTCTCAGTCTCCCAAGTGCTAGGATTACAGGTGTGAACCACCACACCCAGCTCGTTTAAAGCATTTTAAGGGCTGGAAAGATGGCTCAGTGATAAGAGCACTTGCTGCTTCCACATTGGGTGGTTTACAAAGCCTGTAACTCCAGTTCCTGGGGATTCGACACCCTGTGAGGTGCATCAGGCCTGTATATGTTATATATATGTACACCATGTGCAGACGCTCACACATATACATAAAAGTAAAATTAATGCATATTTTGTTTGTTTATCTTGTTTTGTCCTTTTGTTTTGTTTTTTGACAGGGTCTCCCTAGTCCCAGCCTGCCTGGCAGTCACTATGTGGACCATGTTGGCCTTAATATTACAGAGACCTGCCTACCTCTGCCTCCTGAGAATTGGGATTAAAGGTACACACCTCCACGTCCAATGAAATTTAATACATCTTTAAAGAAACATTTTAGGTGGGCCAGAGAGATGACTCACAGTGGTTAAGAGCCCTGGCTGCTCTTGCAGAGGACCTGGGTTCAGTTCCCAGCATCTATATGGCAGCTAACAACAGTCTGTAACTCCAGTTCCAGGGGATCCAATGCCGCCTTCTGGCCTCTGAGGGTATTTCACGAATGGATGCACTTAAATACATGCAGGCAATACACTCATACACATAAAATAAAAATAAATACAATCTTTAAAAAATATTTTAAAATATATATTGCAATATTGTACAACCATCACCTTCAACTGACTCTAGAATTTTCATCATCTCACAGGGAGCCCTGTACCCAGCAACCAGACACTCAAGTATTTGATCTCATACCTATTTAATGAGCTCTTTTTTATTTTGTGGGTGCTTTAGCTCATATGTTTGACCTTACATACTTTTTACACATGGATGGTCTCTGCTTTATTGAACATAGCTGCCCATGTTTCTTCATGTTTTGTGGGGGGCTCTCTGGGGCTCAATGCCCTACCTTCTTCAGACTTCCTTATTCAGCACTGTTTTCCTGTTTGGGG